CAGGGATCAACACATTGTAGAACCTCTTTGATCTACTAAATCAATCACACCGAGTCCACTAACTTATACCTGATGATATCTGATATCATCTCAAAAACTCAATCACAACTTAAGATTCATAAAATAAGAAACGGTAAAAAATTCAAAGTTGGCCTGCAAAACTACAATTGGATTCTGCTCTCCGTGACCCATAATTCCACTGGCCTTAATTGGAATATCCATCACAACATGAAGAATTGAACAAAGAATACATAATAAGAACACCATTGGAACAAACTTTAGGTATTTTAGGTTCTACTTCTTACAAGATAGAACAAAAAAATGAAAAAAAAAAAAAAAATAGGAGATTCAACGATAGTACTAAAAAAACTAAGAGCAATATACAAAATAGGAAGAAATTGAAGTAGTGAAGATTGTAAAGCCAAATTGGCCAAAGCCCATCTTACCGAAGCCAAATTGGACGAAGCGCCATCTTTGCCGAGGTGCCATCTTGCTGAAGCTCAAATGGCAAGAGCCTATTCTTGGAGAGGCCCCTACTTCTGCCGAAGCCCTTATGCGAAGTTGTGCACAAGACCCAACAAAGAGGAATCTGAAGCTCAACCGTGGCAAATGATGATCTGCATTTGAAGATTTTAAATTTGTGAAATCCTTTTAGAATGATTGATTGGACTACTGTGATGAGTTAAGATGGTCAATCTTGTCAGCATAGGTTATGGGGTGGCTGCTTTCTTAAGGGAATTTAATGCGCCACAAGCTAGTAGAGTCAGAATTGATGCCTAGGATATGATGATTTGGTTAAGGAGACGGAGCCACATGTCTTCTCATCAAATGGTTATTATTGTACATATAACACTATAAATAGATTCCCTTAGTGCCATTATGGGGTTGGTCATCTACAATTCATGTACTCTCTCCCTCTCTACAAATATATAATCTTTTAAGAGTTTACGGCGTGATCTTAATCTTTAGCTTGGTTCTTTGTTGATCGTTCATTATCGTATACCTTTGTTTATATATTTATCGGAGCTTGAACATATTCAAACCTGGAACATGTTCGACTTGTAACCCATCTACACGTATTGGAATTAACTTGTAAGGATGTGAGTAGGCCCGGTATCTGTTGGCGCGCTTTTTGTGGTCAAAAGATCGATGCCATCTGTGCGAAAACTTGCTATAAACCACGAACATCCCCAAGTGTCATATAATACCACCCCTTAGACTCTCAATTCCCAAGTACCAGGGATTAGAAAAGGGTCTGGAAGACGTGGAGGGGCATATCCTCCCCAAGTGAGGTTTCCTTCCATAGGAAATATGCCTCAACCAACTAGCTCGACCCACTTAGCAACAATTGGGAAGGAGCCAACATGCAGGACCTCAGCACCGCCCTAAAAAATGGGTGCAGAGGTAGGACCATACCCGCCTTAAATAGGAATTCGCTAACAAACACACATCCCACCCTCAGATAGCAGGATCGTTCGTGGGCTTCAGGTACTAGGAGTTCTATGCTATCAGGATTCTATACCTTTCCCTAATTTCTCGGAGGTCATTGCAGAAGGGATCCTAGCAGTCCCCTACCCAGCCTCATAATCTATTGGGCCCTCACTCATGGCCAGTACCACCTTTCGACCCCCAAAAGAACCTCATATCCTGGCAGCGGTTATCCTCCTGCTCTTAGCACTTGACACCATTGGTGTAAAAAGATGGAGATGAAGGAAATAGAGTTTGAGGAATTACCTAAATGAAGAATGTGCACTAGGAATGTGGCGTCGCCGGAGAAACAAGTGACCAGAGAAATTTATGAATGTTGGAAAAATTTGGAGATTTTGCAAATGTGAAAGCTAGCATGTGGGTGAAATTTTAGCTTTTATAGGAGAAAAGGACAAAGCTCAACCGTTGGATCTAGATTTACTTCATTCGAAGAGTCCATTTTTAAATACATCTGAAGCATTGAATTCAAACAGTTTTCTTATTAATGCCTCAGATTGACACGTGTTTTTCACACATGAGGTTCGGCGTGTCAACGTCAAAATGTAGCAGCAAGATCATCATTGCGCATTCAATGGGCAGCAGCTGGACGTGTATTGGAAGTTGCAACACCACGATTATTTTTTCTTAGTAATATGAAAAAAACATCAAATCATTGACACGATTATCAATAACATACTTTATGAAAATCAAAAAGGAGCTTTAGCACTTCAACACCTCCCTACTTCGACGAAAAATGAAAAATTCAACTACAATCGAAAAAGGAGCCTCAGCAGTGCCACACTTCTCTGCTCAAAATGAAAAATTCAGCTAAAACACAAAAAGGGAAGCCTCAACAGGTCCGTCCCTCCCTACTTCGACTCAACAAGTGAGTTTCAGTGACTTAACTTCGTATGGGAATCAAGTTCAGCATCAAATTCCAGCTACGACATAAATATTTATACTTGGATTTGGGGGATTATTGTGTTTGTAAAAAACCTAACCATGACAAGAAATATAGCTCAAAGAAACTTCATTCAAGACAGAAGTCCACGCATGACATAAATAACATACATGGACTTGGGGGATTATTGTTACGCAAAATTGGTCGAAGCCCAATTGGACGAAGCCCATCTTTGTTGAGACGCCATCTTGTCGAAGCCTAAAATGGCCACAGCCTATTCTTAGGTATGCCCTTACTTCAGTCGAAGCCCCTATGCTGGGGCTATGCACAAGACCCGATGAAGAAGAATTTGAAACTCAACCGTAGCAGATGAAGACCTACGTTTGAAGATTTTAAATTTCTAAAATCCTTTTAGAATGACTGATTGAACTACTGCAATAAGTTATAATGGTCAATCTTGTCAGCATAGGGTATGGGGTAGTTGCTTTCTTAAGGGACATTTAATGCGCCACATGCTAGTAGAGTCAGAATTGATGCCTAGGATGTGATGTTTTGATTAAGGAGATGGAGCCACTTGTCTTATTATCCAATGATTATTATTGCACATGTAACACTTGAAATAGATCCTCTTAGTTCCATTACAGGGGTTGGTCATCTATAATTCATGTACTCTCTCTCTACAAATATTTGATATTTTAAGGGTTTATGGCGTGATCTTAATCTTTAGCTTGATTCTTTGTTGATCGTTGACTATCGTATACCTTTGTTCATATATTTACTAGAGTCTGAATATATTTGTCTCGTGTCAAAAAGCTTCTCCTATGTTCAAACCCGCAACATGTTCGACTAGTAACCCATCTACACATGTTGAAATTAGCTTTTAAGGATGTAAGTTGGCACGGTATCTGTTGGCACATTTTTTGTGGTCAACAAAGATTATGCTTATCTATATATGTCTTAGTTGACTCAAATTCTTTGCAATTTCTTTCTACGATAGCGAGAGTACCACTGATGTCGAATTGGCCGGTGCTTAAGGATCCCCAATGTAGAAGGAGCAGAACGGTTGCGAAGAAGGCTAAGCTCTTGACCCCTCGAGTCTACCTCAACTGCTTTATTCCTCAGCAAAATTGTCACCTCTTTTGTTGTAATTGTTGCTGCTCCCCTTAGCAAATGAGTGTCTTATTCTTACAGTTTCGTCGGGATCTTTGAGAAGGAGTAAGGGTAGATTTCTTTGTCGATGGAGAGAGAAGTCAGTTTGGAGAAAAAGCGCTTTTCGATTTTATCTGGGCCCTCATATAAGCCAAAATGTGCACTGTAGAATGAACATTGTCTGAAAACGAGTTTGACATTAATAAACAGTAAACCAAAAGCCCCTCTTTCAAGAGAAGGGCAGATAAGGCAAAATGTGTACTGTAGAATGAACAGTATGTGAAAACGACTTGAATGAACAATAATCCAAAAGCCCTTCTTTTAACTTTTATAAGAGAAGGGTAGATATTACATATGTTTTCTTTGACCTTTTTTCTTCTTAATTTTAATTTAGACAAAAATAAATAATTTTAATTTAAAAATTTTAATTTTTATCTTTTTGTGCCGAGTGATTTCATTTTAATTATATTTTTTATTTTTTATTTCTCATTAGAAATGGACAAATTAAAATATAATATGAATTAAAAATGAAATCTGAGCTATAAAAATTTGATATCATTTTTTTTAAATATTTAATGTCACGAAAATATTGCTTTAAATTTCCAATATTAACGTAAATGTCAAGAGTATAAAAAATATTTTTTTGGAGAAAATCCTATTAAATCTAGCTATATAAAATATCTAATAAATTTTCAATTAGATTTATTAAATTATTCCAAAATATTTATTTTTGTTGACTTGTTAATTATTTGTCCATCATATTTGTGAAATATAATATTGCATTTTATATTTTTAAATTTTATAAAACATTTACAATGATATTTTTTAACTAAATCTCATCTAAATCAAAATTATGAAAAAAACGTATATCTTAATAAAGAATAAGAAAGAGAAAATAAAATAAAACATAATAAATAAAAATTCCAAAATAGTATAAAGAGATAAATTAGAAATTAAATATTTACGTTTTGCTAATATTGAAGAATTTGTTATCAAAAGACAAAAGTAAACATCATGGGAGGTTTTTTGAAATGTATGAAAATAATTTTTTGGAAAGTTTTTTTTGTAATTTTATCTATTTTTAACTAATTATATATTTTTTGCAAAGATGATCACCAGTGTTAACACTTTAAAACTTGTATCGTCGATCATGATGGGCTCCACATAGGATATTTCGCTGATTCAACAATCGGGAAGATGAATGTATTGAATTATCCAAAACAAAAACGTTTCTTCAGGGACAACCGAACAAGTTGAAACAAAATGTAGTTGGATGATCAAAATAAAACATCGACAAACCAAAATATTGTAAGTAGATTTTCTCTATATATATACATTGAGAATTGGCATATCTTACATAGACATGGAAAGATTAGATAGGCAAGTATGTGACATCCTAGTACCATGACAGCGTTGACATATACATCAGTCGATCACCATAGGATCAAAATTAGGCTGTTTGTCAATTTTTGTTTAGTTAGTATCAAGGATTCATAGCTAATTGATTTGAAGATGTACATGTGGTTGTAGGAGTCACACCCTGCTCCAAATCAGCCAATGAGAAGGATCGCCACACCGGCAAATTCTTCCGGGGAGAAGATGACGAGGACGATTCGGAAGAATTGCAATCGGTGGGATGCGTGTCACTTTCCGAGTTGCTCATGGCAACAGCCAAGGCCAATGTGGTTCGACTCGAGTTGGTCATTCTCTTAGAAATCCCACCTAAATTACTCTTCGGAAGGGAGCTTCTATTCTTGACATCCCAGCTAGCAATACTACAGGCGATAAGGTTTCTTCGTTTCCTCGTGTACGCATTCTCGGGTTTCGAGATGTTTCTTATAGACGACGAAGAAGCATCTATCAAACTTGCAAAGGACTTAGATTTTCCATTGTAGAATCTTGAAATGCCCCTCCTGCTTAACATACTAGTATCAGCTTTAACAAGAGAGCGTTGTAGACTGCATATTCGGTATGTAGTATTTAATGATACGGACTTTTCGGTATTATCGAATTCTCCCTATGATTCGATTAAAAACTTTGCAATCCATTGTTACAAAACAAAGTTTTATTTTCACTACAATCGAAGCTCGACTATTCGAATTTCATTTTTCTCCATTACAAACTTATACAAGTACCAACTCATGTGACAGATTAATAATTTCTTTTCTTTATAAGGAAAAATAAAAAACATTAAACAACCCAAAATCTAATTGGACAATGTTTCCAAAAGTTAAATATTAAAGCAATGGGAATCTAAGAAAAATCAAAATAATTTCGATGAGATCAAGGTATATAATTTAAATTTGTAATTAAAAAAATGCAAAAATGATAAAAAAAAATTTGCACCAACCAACCTTATCGGTAAAACTTCCTCCAAGGCATTCATGGCGTCCAAGGGCCCTTTATACGAACTCTGAACCTCTTCATTTTCATCAAAAATATCCGATGATTTCTCAGAAATATCACTATTTTTTCCTATAGATGACGATTCTGAATCAGAATCGTAAGGATCCAATCTCTTTTCTTCTTTCTCAACATCCTTAAAACCCACCTTTTTGGCCACCGGAAACCTCCTATCGCCGCCGTAAACCGCCGGCGATTCTACACAAGACATCACGTGCATGCACCCACCACCTTCAACTCCACCCTTGTTCATGACCCTTGTAGGCATTTTCAAAAGCTAAAAATTCTATAAATGGATACAGATCATAAATATATTGAATTGAACCCTGCAAAATATATATGGGCAAATGATGATCAATAAGGCATTCAGAAGAAGATGAGATCTATATGAGTAAAAATGAGAGAAATATACAGGGACGAAATTATTTAATATTTAAATTGAATATTCGTTGTGGATGCTGCCTGGATGCTTATTAAAATAATAAATGGGATAAAGGGGTTAGGTCTTATCCTCAAATTCTCATCCACTACTTTAGTTGATATATTTATTTATTTATTTATTAGAAAAAAAAAAGAAGATAATTTTTCAATATATTAAAATATGATATTTGTTCAATACTTCGATTAGAAACTTAAGTACTTAGGCCACGTTTGATTGTAACGAATTCCATGAAAAATGTGACATTCGAGGAAAACGAATTCCATTTTGATCTTTTAATTGCAACGTGGCAATGGAAATCGAATTCTAGGGTACAATCATTTTAAATTGCATTTTCTTTATTTTTATGAAAAACGAATTCCTATGAATTTGGTGGGTTTTTATTTTCCAGCTAACATGTAATTGGAATTCATTTCCACATTTGTCTATCAAACGGACCCTTATTGATTTATGTTTTATCATATTTAGGTAGGATTATTTGGTCGACTTTTTTTGATTTCGATGAGTGAGTTTTAATCAAACCTTAACCCTTTTTTCTAATATTTGATTATTACTTCATCGGAAATTAATACGAGTTATTTAAAATAATCAATTAAATTGAATTTATATTAAATTAATTTGTCAAGCACAAAACTCACTTTTTTAGAACATACTTAATCTTTAAGCAAGTGACTTAAGTTCAAAAGCTAATTGATTGGATTGAACGAAATTTCTTTTTTTTTTTTCCCTTAATTTATTGCTTTTAAATTCTTCTACCATTTCCTTTATTTTAATTATTATTTTGGAAAATAATTGTGATAAGTAATTATTGAGATAAGGAGAGGTAAGATCAGTGCTACACGTACACGCCAATGTGGCCCTCTACGCATTATTCGAGTGATAAGAACATTGCTACGCTTACATGCTAGTGCGGCATTATTCGAGTGATAATGCTGCTTGAAATATACGACCTGCCTGTCTGGCTGTTCATTTCGGGGAGACAATGGATGATGGGTCGATAGAAAATGATTGTGTAGCTAAAGTTGATTTGTAAGTTTTGAAAATTAACTTTTAAGTAAATCTAAAATTATTAACTTTTTATTGGTCAAATTTCTTATTTTGGTCAAATATGGAGCATAGGAAATCAGTAATAATCTACGAAGTTTTTTTATTTTCTTGAATGGGTCCCACAGCATTGGATAAGATCATAAGGATCTTTGTCATCTTTTCTCTCTCCTCCATAATTCAACCCACCCTCTCTCTAGGAAAAAAAAAGAATAAAAAGGAAGTCAGCTCATCCACATGGGCTTTTTGTCCATCGACATCTTATCTTAAAATTATTTAAACATTGTCGATTAATAATTGGAAAAAATTCAAATTTTGTTCATAATTTCTTACCATAGCATATTTGTTTGAAAAAGAGTAAACTAATCACAAAACTTTCATCATAATTGCACAATTCGTCAAAACATCACACTATGTTCAAATTTTATTTTCTTGTCACCCTCATGGAAACATGGTCATGTTCGAATTTGTAAGCACCAACACAAATCGAGAAGCAATTATTGTTTTATAAACGTTGAGGACCTTGTCGCTAATACGACAAGACATTGGGGACCAATACTATAATTTTTCATTACAACTTGGGCCAATACTATGTTTCGTTCGGCAAAAAAAAGTTGATCACAATTTAAATTAAAATCAGAATTTCAATTTTCAATTGCGTATTCCGATAACTTTTATCAAAATCTACTGATATCTTAATTTTGATCTAAATCAAAAAAAGCCTTAGAGCTTGTTTGGTAGATATTAAAATCAGATTAAAATTGAAAAATTAGCAGTTATTGTTGACTTTTAATAGATGAGTGGGACCCAATAATGGCTATATTTTCAATTTTAATTGGATTTTAAACTCTTCCAAACATGCTCTTAATTTATTTAGGTAATTTGACTGCACGATTTTGAATCATTTGACCAAACAATCTTTAGAGAATGATGAAAATTGCACCATGAATTAAAAAAAAAAAGAGTTTTATCATTTATACCGAAAATAAATGATAATGAATTTGACAAGCTCACATGCGACGGCCCTGCGTGATTAAAAAATTCCAAAAAAAAATAGTGAAGCCCCCCATTATGAGTGTCGATCAATTTGTATTGTCAATCATTTTCAGTACAAATAGCACGGCTCAAAAAAATTGCACATGTAGCTTTATGTCATGCGAGAATTCTTAAAAATTTCAATTTATTGATTAAAATTTCATAAAATTTTGTTTGATTATTACGTCATTTGTGCAAAAATTGCCATTGAGTTTAAAATTTGAGAATTTTACCTTATGAAAATTTTCCAGCAGAAATTCATAATCAACGAAAAGGACAAATTGAATAAAATAATGGGCCCATGATCAAGTATCTAGGCCCACAAGATCATGAAAAGGTAGGCCCCATATATACCTGCCTGGATATCATTGAGCCACGTCCTATATCAGCAGTTGAAGTTTGTCGCCAACATCCATGAGCCACCACACGTACGGACGACAATTACTTCGATTTAATTATTTCCTTTAATTTAGATTTTTGTGACCATCGCGATATTTTAATTATTTTTAAATTTTTTCTTGCAAGCTAACACGTGGTTAGAAATCATGTAAACCGTTTTCATGTTTAGCCATATACTTAGGAACCTTTGATTTTAGGTGTGATTGATTCTCTCTCTTTTTTTTCAAAAAATATATATATTTTTTTCAATCACACATTTTTAATAAAATATTATTAAACATAAATTAAATTTTTTTTTCTTATTTTTAACTATTTTTTTCCTCTAAATCACTATTTCAAAATGCATTTTTTACAAAAAAAAAAAAAAAAAAAAAAAAAAAACCGCATCAAATCGGTTCTAAATAAAAATTAAATTTCGAGTAAATTTTTATAAATATTAATTAAATTTAATTGAAAAGTTATGAATGATTAAAATTAATTGACTTTAATTAAATTTTAATCATGAACTTGAAGTTTCAACATAAATTTAAAGCTATTTTAAAAATCCATAAATTAATATACATGGCGGATGCTACACCCAATAAGCACCGATTGTTGTTCGTGCTAGATCCGTCGATATTAAAAAGGATAGTAATTTTTTGAAGAAAGTGTGGTTAAAAAATTAAAATAAAATCAGTTTATATGTAAAATTAATTTATGGAAAAAATGTAGTGCAAAATGAATTTTGAAAAAAAAATGAGGTTAAACATAAGCTAAATGTAACACAAATTTATATGTTTAGTTTTAGCAAAGTAATAGATATATTATGTGTTGCTTTGATTATATTGTTTCTTTATAATGAAGATAAAATGACATGAAAAGGAGGTTAAATGATGGGTTTTGCTAGTGGTACATCACAGCCAAGTTGTACATTGGGTCCTTCTTGTGAGGGCGTTGTCATCAAGGATGTGAATCACGAATATACCCTGTTGTGAACCTCGGATGTACACTCAACAAAACCCGATAAGTGATAGCATTCACTTATTTTTACACACCTAAGTGGGAGCATAATTTGTATTATACAATTCATAAAATATTGGGTGTAGTTCGGAACTTGTAGTAGTAATTTTCCATTGGATTGTTTAAACTCTGCCTCATCGAAACCGCTTTGAAATAAAAGTTTTATCTGAAAGGTATTATAAAAAGTGTTGACCCCAAAAAATGTGCCAGCAGAATCCCTGTCACGTCCCCTTCACGTGAACATCACCTGCACATCGAACACTCCATTAAGAGGCAAAGGCCGAAGGCCGAGAAAAAAGTCCGGCTACCGTTTGCACTCAGAGAGTCAAATCAACGGCCGGACAAAAAAAAAATACGAGTGCAAGAGAGGAAGAGGATAGGGTTTTAGAATGTACCTTAAAATGAAAAGAATCACACATGCACATCATATTATGAGGAAATTTGATATATCACTATTTCACTTTATCGTCCTGAGTAATTTGAGGGGCAAATGGACCCCAAATATGTTTGGTGTATGTGCAGTTGATGTATTGTATTGTATTACAGGATTGGTTTAGTCTATATTACAGAGGAGATGCAGTCGAAATTTTGAAAAATTATATGCAGCATCTATCTTTCGAGGCAATTTGTAAGCCTTCGCTTATTCAGGTTGCCACATATATTTTCTAAGGCAGTTCGTAAGTACTCACTTATTCGAGCTGCTTATATTTTTTAAGGCAATTCGTAAGTCCTGATTTATTAGAACTACTTAACTATTTGGGATCGAAGTATATCTTCAGGGCAGTTCGTAAGTCCTTGTCGTCGGAACTAATTACATTTTCGAGGCAATGTGAGACCTCACCTACTGACACTTATATTTTAAAGTCCGACCCCGCACATGAATGTACGACCCAGACTTGGGGGGCTATTGTTACTATCGTAAATTACGTGGCACACACATGATAGGAAGTGTCCCACATTGTCGATATGGTATTGACTTAGAGGGTCCTCTAAAAGATAGCATGGGCTTCAGCTTAAAGGAGTCTTGAATTGAAGGTCTTTATTGTGAAGAGCGTCGGGACAAAGAGTCTCGGCTGAAGGGCCTTTTCCATTCCATTTACAAAGAGTATCGGCTGAAGGGTCTCATACACTTACATAGTACCTTAACTGAAAGCCTCATGAGCCTCGGTTTTGGGCTTGGACCTCGGCCCATTGCACATATGACCCATTTACGTTTATGTTTTCTATATATATGTGTGATTCATTTCATTTTAAGGTACGTTCTAAAACCCTATCCTCTTCCCCTCTTCCTCTCTTGCACTCATATTTTTCTTTTGTCAAGCCGTTGATTTGACAGTCGAGTGCAAATGGTC